AGAAAGAGCAAACTTCGGCAAGCCGAAGTTCATATACCCTTGCAGCTATTGCAAGAATTAAACATTTTTGAAAACATTAAAATTATAATTTACTTGCGTATAAGTTTAAAAACATTGAAGCTATGATGATTTGCAGCTCAATTATTTGATAGTTATTTTATATATTTTAATTGTTCCTATGGGAGCTATATGATATAGTCGTCCGACTTTGATGAAACTTAAACCGTAAATTGGAAATATTTAACCATTACTAAATGTCGAAGAACTAAACAAAAAATTAAAAAACAGAAAAGTTATAATTTTTTTTCATTTATTTCTCCGATTGTTCCTATGGGAGCTATATGATATAGTCGTCCGACTTTGATGAAATTTAAACCGTAAATCGAAAATATTTAACCATTACTAAATGTCGAAGAACTAAAAAAAAAATTAAAAAACAGAAAAGTTATAATTTTTTTTCATTTATTTTTCCGATTGTTCCTATGGGAGCTATATGCTATAGTCGTCCGATTTTGATGCAATTTTTACCATAATTCTGAAATATTTAACCATTGCTTTATGTCGAAGAACAAAACAAAAAATTAAAAAACAGCAAAGTTATAATTTTTTTTCAATTATTTTTCCGATTGTTCCTATGGGGGCTATATGCTATAGTCGTCCGATTTTAATGAAATTTAAACCGTAAATCGGAAATATTTAACCATTACTTAACGTCGAAGAACTAAACAAAAAATTAAAAAACAGCAAAGTTATAATTTTTTTTCATTTATTTTTCCGATTGTTCCTATGGGAGCTATATGCTATAGTCGTCCGATCCGGCTCGTTCCGACTTATATACTACCTGCAATAAAAAGACAACTTTTGGGAAAGTTTCATGCACATAGCTTTAAAACTGAGAGACTAGTTTGCATATAAACGGACGGACAGACGGACAGACGGACGGGCAGACGGACGGACAGACGGACATGGCTAGATCGACTCGCCTAGTGATGCTGATCAAGAATATATATACTTTATAGGGTCGGAGATGTCTCCTTCACTGCGTTGCAAACTTCTGACTGAAATTATAATGCCCTCTGCAAGGGTATAAAAAACATATAGATGTCGCCGCAAAAAAATTAGCTCTGACCATCAGACTGCATTTCTTGCAGAAACACAGAAAATTGTTATTCATATTTTATTAAATTTGTATTTGTAAGCGAGCAGTTTAAGGAACTTTTAAGAGAGAGAGAGAGAGAGAGAGAGAGAGAGCGTGAGTTCAAAAGCGTTTCAATATTTTTTTTTTTTTAATCAACAATATGTTGAGAATATTAAGTGTTGTATAATAATGTGTATTTAATTAAAAAAAATAATTAATTAAAAAAAATCAAAATCGGACGACTATAGCAAATAGCTCCCACCGGAACAATAAAAAAAAAATAAATGAAAAAATTATAACTTTGCTGTTTTTCAATTTTTTGTTTAGTTCTTCGACATTAAGTAATGGTTAAATATTTTAGAATTACGGTTTAAATTTCATCAAAATCGGACGACTATAGCTTATAGCTTCCATAGGAACAATCGGTAAAATCAATGAAAAAAAATTATAACTTTGCTTTCTTTTAAGTTTTTGTTAAGTTCTTCGACATTTAGTAATGGTTAAATATAAGTAAATCATAATTTTAATGTTTTCAAGAATATTTAATATTTTCAATAGCTGCAAGCTTCAGCTTGCCGAAGTTTGCTTCCTGTCTTGTTTTTTTTATAAATGTCTATATTATTATATTTGTGTTTTCCTCGCGAACTTGACAACGCCCACTATGCTAACAACGTTCAACAATATATATAGCAAAAGTTTATGAATCTCTAGGGCTGTATACGTAAAAATTATGTTAAGGCAGCATGATTAGCATTTGACAGTTCCTTTTTAAAGACATATATCACTTGTCTGCAGCTTTACTAGCTTAGAATAGTTATAGCCGTGCAAAGCTCCGCTATTTTTTTTTAGCGATTTCTCTCTAAATAACCTGGTTTTTAACAAAGTAAAACAAACTTTTTTCATCAACTTTTGTAAAATTAACATCTGCACACTTCAAAAATTTAATTTCCTTCGACTGCTATTAGTTAACTTTTTTCTATTAGGTCAAGTACGACGTCAGTTTTTTTTAGTAGGTCCAGTCCAATTATTCCATCAAACGTTGTTAGGTTTGGTAGCAAGAAAAATGTTGTATTTGTATTAAAAAGGTGCATTATACATTTTTTGTTTAATATGTTGTGACCATGGATTGATTTTATAGAGAATGGTTTATTTACGAAAATAACGTTTTCTAATTCTTTCATAGCTTTGACACCTTTGGTGTTTTTCCTCCGTGCTACGTGCAAAACTACTTGCGAATGGGCTAATGTTAAAGCGGAAGGAAGATCGGTTGGTTTTGCCGAAAAAAGAACGTCGCTGAGCGATTTTCTTGTGCCCGAAATAAATACTCGCAGCGCATCTGCTCTGTATTTTTCTTTTAGAGAGGTAGCTTTCCTCCAAGATACGTATGTCTCATTCTTTCCCTTAAAGTCCAGCAGGGACTTCATAATATCTAACGTTACCTATTATGATTTCGGCATCCCTATATGTTTCTAGTTCTGGATTGCCGATATTTACACCACCTAATCGCTTCTGAACATCTTGTAATTTTTGCCCAAAGCTCTTTTCCTGCGCGGCGAGTGCGCTCGCAACTGCGCCTTCTATAATGGATTTTAATTGTTCATTGGTCAACGCCATGTTTGAACTATTTTGTTGAAAACTTTCCGCGGTGTGTAGTTTTTGAATTCTATATCTCTATCGCTCATATGATTTTAACACAAAGAACAAAGAATTTTGTTCCTTTTGTATTTATTTTTCTTTAAAAAAAATTTCCGAACTTGTGCCTTTTTTTTTTGACTGAGACTCTTGAAAAATCACTTTAAATATTTTTTAAAATATTTTGCAATTTGAAAATAGTGGGAATATCAACGAACACTCTACTTAGATGGATTTTGTTTAATTATACAACTAAATGTTGTTGCCGCTGTCGGTGTCTTCCTTCTTTTAATTTAGTTTCGCCCTTGTCGTCGTTCCTGGTTTATTTTTATTTGGTTGATTTGTTGTTGTTGCCTGGTTTTGTTGAGTTAAGGTTGCTTTGTTGTTTTTTTCTAAAACGAATCGAACGCGTTTTTAATTTTTTTTATTCAATGTTTTTATTTAACACGGGTCGAGGGTCTTACAACTCGTTGGGTGCCAATTAATTATATGTCCTGTTTAAGGATTTATTGTAATTCATTTAATTTCCAAAATGAAACTAACTGCCTTAACCTTGCATTATTTTATTCAATTATGCATGATCAGCTTGGGAACTTTGCTGGGAAACCGTTTTAACTTATACACCCAATTAGCAGTTAATCAGCATTTCTTTGGTATCCAATTCCTACAAATAAGTATTGCACTACTTGATGAATTTTTACATACAAACATTGAACTTACCTTTTCTCTACAGCTCTCTTCTTTCCGAAAATCCTCAACAGTGCATGGCAATTTGATCGATTTGGGTTTAAATTATTTAATTAATTAAATAATATTTGAAACCACTTGAAACCAAAAACTTGTATAATATTGCGCTCCCGTTTGGAGTACCCAATATCAAGTGCACATTGATCGTATTGAGTCGGTACAAAAAAAATTTCTTCTTTTTGCCCGTTGTGGTTTGAACTGGGATCAGCAATAGTAAGGTTGTATTCTTACTCTAGTAGATTACTATTGCTTAATTTACCTACTCTTGTAAATCGTAGAATCATGCTTGGACCTATTTTTGTGCACAATCATGTGGAAGGTGATATTGACTCCATAGAATTGGTAAGCCGCTTAACTTTTAATGTGCCTTTTGGACCAACCCGCAACTACCATATTCTTAACTTGCCAACATGTACCTTAAATTTTGGCCTGCATGAGCCTTTTCGTGTTCTTTGTAACAATTATAAAAATCTATATAATCAAATTTGCATTTCAACCACTATCCCTGCACCGTACTTAGATTTAGTTTTTATACCCTTGCAGAGGGTATAATAAATTCAGTCTGAAGTTTGCAACGCAGTGAAGGAGACATCTCCGACCCTATAAAGTATATATACTCTTGATCAGCATCACTAGGCGAGTCGATCTAGCCATGTCCGTCTGTCCGCCAAATCTAAGAGGCGCTAAATCGAGTCCGACTAGTTTCGAGAATTCATATTTTCCCGCGGCGCTGAGCATGTAACGCTCCCTATAGAATACAAGTGTAAGTGATTAATTAATAATTGCCTAAAGTTTTCACTTTAAAAAACACTTCCTCACTCTGTTGCAGTCGAATTCAAGAGCAAAGGGAATGGGGAGAACGAAAAACGAAACCGATATTTCTGCCTGACGCGTGCCAGGGTATATGCGACCATAACAATGCCTTGTAGTTAAAATCTCATATGGCAGATAATCAAATATTAACATTTTGGCGTTGCCTATAGCAACTTTACAATAACTTCCAAAATGTTATTACATTGAATCAATAAAAATCGTTTATTTATCATCTTAAAAATTAATAAATATACTAGCGCTTCTAAAAAGGGTATTTAAAAGTCTAAACAGTTCCTTTTCTTCTTGTGCCGTCCAATCCTCTCCCTATTTCAGCCGCTGCTTCTAATTACTTCGAAATAAACAACTACAAAAAGTTCGAACTTCGGCAGAATTTTGTCAGCCTGCTTTGTTTTAAACTTCGCTAGATGAAGCCCATGTGATTTGTTTTTGTTTTTCGAACTTGCCGGCCAGGAAATGGCAGGGAAGGGAATTTCAGAACTACAGGGGAGCGCGTTTGTTTACATACATTCCAATCAAGGCAGTGTTTTTCTATTGCAACATTTAATCAAAGTACTTATGCTTCGATGTTATTTATCAAATATTATTCGCTGAACCTTCCATTTCTTGATGTTCTAAAAATATATCTCTACTATTGCAAATTAGGCGTGGAAAACACAAAAATGAAACGAATAAAACCAAGTGGTGCCCAGTTCAAAAAAATCCGTGCAAAAAAGCAACACACCAAAAATTTGTCGAAAGAATTTATGTTAAATTACGTGAAAAGTCATAACAAGGAAATCTCAGACACCTCAAATAATCCTTCGGTTTCTGAATCAAACCTGGAAAATCCATCACAGCATTTTATAGACGAGTGTACAAGCGATATTGAAAATGAGGTATGATGAAAGGTGGTGCAATATTTGGAATATGTTGTAATTTTTTTTAATGAACCAAATTGATTGAATAAAAATTCAGGCGGAATCTTTATCAAAGGAGATTCTGGAGGTAGAAAACGCTGGACAATCATCTGTTGGAATTGATAGTGAAAAACAACATGTAACAACATTGTTGTGAACATCAGATCTCAAAATCTACTAAACCGATCCTTTTGAAAATTTCAACATTACTTCATATAAATCAGCAGGAAATCACAGAGTTTTTTTGTATTTTTTAATATTAATTTACTGCGATTTTTTTTTTAGCTTAAACTAAAAAAAAGGGTAAAAAACAATCTTTGTTATTACCTCGAAAAATTCATCAGCTTTATATTTTATTAAATTTCTATTTGTAAGCGAGCAGTTTAAGGAACTTTTAAGAGAGAGAGAGCGTGAGTTCAAAAGCGTTTTAATTTTTTTTAAATTTTTTTTTGGAATCAACAATATGTTGAGAATATTAAAAGTTGCATAATAATAATGTGTATTTAATTAAAAAAAAAAAACATATAGTTTTCGCCGCAAAAAAATTATCACACATTTTTTTTCGCCTTTAAAACTTTTGAGCATGAAATCAAAAGTATTTGTCTGAACTAGCCGCCATCGCCCGCCCAAAAGCAATCAAAAAGTGGTTACTTTTGGTACCTACATGTCATGTTTAACTGATCAGCTCTGACCATCAGACTGCATTTCCTGCAGAAACACAGAAAATTGTTATTCATATTTTATTAAATTTGTATTTGTAAGCGAGCAGTTTAAGGAACTTTTAAGAGAGAGAGAGAGAGAGCGTGAGTTCAAAAGCGTTTTAACTTTTATTTCATTTTTTTTATCAACAATATGTTGAGAATATTCTGCACTTATTCCAAGTCAATCCGAGTAAAACTAACGGAGTTACAGAGTTTCGCGTATGAAATTTTGAACATCAGAACTCAAAATCTACTAAACCCATCATTTTGAAAATTTGAACATTACTTCATATTAATCAGCAGGAAATCACAGAGTCTTTTTGTATTTTTTAATAACAATTTACAGCGATTTTTTTTAGCTTAAACTAAAAAAAAGGGGAAAAAACAATCTTTGTTATTACCTCGAAAAATTCATCAGCTTTATAAAGCATATACTTTTTTTTCTGATAATCCGTTCAAGAGTTTTGATCTTCACCGCAAACAAACTTTTTTTCAGTTCACCGGCTTATTTTTCATTGTTTTTCTTTAAAAATTTGTTCTTCGATTTTTTAAAAGTTGTATAATAATGTGTATTTAATTTAAAAACAAGAAAGAGCAAACTTCGGCAAGCCGAAGTTCATATACCCTTGCAGCTATTGCAAGAATTAAACATTTTTGAAAACATTAAAATTATAATTTACTTGCGTATAAGTTTAAAAACATTGAAGCTATGATGATTTGCAGCTCAATTATTTGATAGTTATTTTATATATTTTAATTGTTCCTATGGGAGCTATATGATATAGTCGTCCGACTTTGATGAAACTTAAACCGTAAATTGGAAATATTTAACCATTACTAAATGTCGAAGAACTAAACAAAAAATTAAAAAACAGAAAAGTTATAATTTTTTTACATTTATTTCTCCGATTGTTCCTATGGGAGCTATATGATATAGTCGTCCGACTTTGATGAAATTTAAACCGTAAATCGAAAATATTTAACCATTACTAAATGTCGAAGACACTCAAAAAAAATTAAAAAACAGAAAAGTTATAATTTTTTTTCATTTATTTTTCCGATTGTTCCTATGGGAGCTATATGCTATAGTCGTCCGATTTTGATAAAATTTTTACCATAATTCTGAAATATTTAACCATTGCTTTATGTCGAAGAACAAAACAAAAAATTAAAAAACAGCAAAGTTATAATTTTTTTTCAATTATTTTTCCGATTGTTCCTATGGGGGCTATATGCTATAGTCGTCCGATTTTGATGAAATTTAAACCGTAAATCGGAAATATTTAACCATTACTAAACGTCGAAGAACTAAACAAAAAATTAAAAAACAGCAAAGTTATAATTTTTTTCATTTATTTTTCCGATTGTTCCTATGGGAGCTATATGCTATAGTCGTCCGATCCGGCTCGTTCCGACTTATATACTACCTGCAATAGAAAGACAACTTTTGGGAAAGTTTCATGCACATAGCTTTAAAACTGAGAGACTAGTTTGCATATAAACGGACGGACAGACGGACAGACGGACGGGCAGACGGACGGACAGACGGACATGGCTAGATCGACTCGCCTAGTGATGCTGATCAAGAATATATATACTTTATAGGGTCGGAGATGTCTCCTTCACTGCGTTGCAAACTTCTGACTGAAATTATAATGCCCTCTGCAAGGGTATAAAAAACATATAGATGTCGCCGCAAAAAAATTATCACACATTTTTTTTTCGCCTTTAAAACTTTTGAGCATGAAATCAAAAGTATTTGTCCAAAAGCAATCAAAAAGTGGTTGCTTTTGGTACCTACATGTCATGTTTATCATAACTGTTCAGCTCTGACCATCAGACTGCATTTCTTGCAGAAACACAGAAAATTGTTATTCATATTTTATTAAATTTGTATTTGTAAGCGAGCAGTTTAAGGAACTTTTAAGAGAGAGAGAGAGAGAGAGAGAGAGCGTGAGTTCAAAAGCGTTTCAATATTTTTTTTTTTTTGAATCAACAATATGTTGAGAATATTAAGTGTTGTATAATAATGTGTATTTAATTAAAAAAAATAATTAATTAAAAAAAATCAAAATCGGACGACTATAGCAAATAGCTCCCACCGGAACAATAAAAAAAAATAAATGAAAAAAATATAACTTTGCTGTTTTTCAATTTTTTGTTTAGTTCTTCGACATTAAGTAATGGTTAAATATTTCAGAATTACGGTTTAAATTTCATCAAAATCGGACGACTATAGCTTATAGGTAAAATCAATGAAAAAAAAATTATAACTTTGCTTTCTTTTAAGTTTTTGTTAAGTTCTTCGACATTTAGTAATGGTTAAATATAAGTAAATCATAATTTTAATGTTTTCAAGAATATTTAATATTTGCAATAGCTGCAAGCTTCAGCTTGCCGAAGTTTGCTTCCTGTCTTGTTTTTTTTATAAATGTCTATATTATTATATTTGTGTTTTCCTCGCGAACTTGACAACGCCCACTATGCTAACAACGTTCAACAATATATATAGCAAAAGTTTATGAATCTCTAGGTCTGTATACGTAAAAATTATGTTAAGGCAGCATGATTAGCATTTGACAGTTCCTTTTTAAAGACATATATCACTTGTCTGCAGCTTTACTAGCTTAGAATAGTTATAGCCGTGCAAAGCTCCGCTATTTTTTTTTTAGCGATTTCTCTCTAAATAACCTGGTTTTTAACAAAGTAAAACAAACTTTTTTCATCAACTTTTGTAAAATTAACATCTGCACACTTCAAAAATTTAATTTCCTTCGACTGCTATTAGTTAACTTTTTTTCTATTAGGTCAAGTACGACGTCAGTTTTTTTTAGTAGGTCCAGTCCAATTATTCCATCAAACGTTGTTAGGTTTGGTAGCAAGAAAAATGTTGTATTTGTATTAAAAAGGTGCATTATTCATTTTTTGTTTAATATGTTGTGACCATGGATTGATTTTATAGAGAATGGTTTATTTCTTTCATAGGTTTGACACCTTTGGTGTTTTTCCTCCGTGCTACGTGCAAAACTACTTGCGAATGGGCTAATGTTAAAGCGGAAGGAAGATCGGTTGGTTTTGCCGAAAAAAGAACGTCGCTGAGCGATTTTCTTGTGCCCGAAATAAATACTCGCAGCGCATCTGCTCTGTATTTTTCTTTTAGAGAGGTAGCTTTCCTCCAAGATACGTATGTCTCATTCTTTCCCTTAAAGTCCAGCAGGGACTTCATAATATCTAACGTTACCTATTATGATTTCGGCATCCCTATATGTTTCTAGTTCTGGATTGCCGATATTTACTCCACCTAATCGCTTCTGAACATCTTGTAATTTTTGCCCAAAGCTCTTTTCCTGCGCGGCGAGTGCGCTCGCAACTGCGCCTTCTATAATGGATTTTAATTGTTCATTGGTCAACGCCATGTTTGAACTATTTTGTTGAAAACTTTCCGCGGTGTGTAGTTTTTGAATTCTATATCTCTATCGCTCATATGATTTTAACACAAAGAACAAAGAATTTTGTTCCTTTTGTATTTATTTTTTTCTAAAAAAAAATTTCCGAACTTGTGCCTTTTTTTTTGACTGAGACTCTTGAAAAATCACTTTAAATATTTTTTAAAATATTTTGCAATTTGAAAATCGTGGGAATATCAACGAACACTCTACTTAGATGGATTTTGTTTAATTATACAACTAAATGTTGTTGCCGCTGTCGGTGTCTTCCTTCTTTTAATTTAGTTTCGCCCTTGTCGTCGTTCCTGGTTTATTTTTATTTGGTTGATTTGTTGTTGTTGCCTGGTTTTGTTGAGTTAAGGTTGCTTTGTTGTTTTTTTCTAAAACGAATCGAACGCGTTTTTAATTTTTTTTATTCAATGTTTTTATTTAACACGGGTCGAGGGTCTTACAACTCGTTGGGTGCCAATTAATTATATGTCCTGTTTAAGGATTTATTGTAATTCATTTAATTTCCAAAATGAAACTAACTGCCTTAACCTTGCATTATTTTATTCAATTATGCATGATCAGCTTGGGAACTTTGCTGGGAAACCGTTTTAACTTATACACCCAATTAGCAGTTAATCAGCATTTCTTTGGTATCCAATTCCTACAAATAAGTATTGCACTACTTGATGAATTTTACATACAAACATTGAACTTACCTTTTCTCTACAGCTCTCTTCTTTCCGAAAATCCTCAACAGTGCATGGCAATTTGATCGATTTGGGTTTAAATTATTTAATTAATTAAATAATATTTGAAACCACTTGAAACCAAAAACTTGTATAATATTGCGCTCCCGTTTGGAGTACCCAATATCAAGTGCACATTGATCGTTTTGAGTCGGTACAAAAAAAATTTCTTCTTTTTGCCCGTTGTGGTTTGAACTGGGATCAGCAATAGTAAGGTTGTATTCTTACTCTAGTAGATTACTATTGCTTAATTTACCTACTCTTGTAAATCGT